GGGTATCAGAAATCTAGTAACCTAAATCATTAATCAACCTCCGGTTAGTTGATATCAAGATCTTACCAGGTAACTTTTCTCGGTATTGATGTTGCTGTCTCGGGTTAATTTGATATCTAGAAACCTCTCATAGTTTTCAAGATTAAGATCCACCTTTTTCCAAATCACATCAGAAAATGAAAATCTTTCAAATTTTTTTATCTTTAGATTTAAAGTTGAAAGTCTTTTAGTTTTTAAAAAGTCATATTTGTTTACCTTGCCACGATCGTCCAAGAAAAGCAGTTTGACATGCTCAAATGGGGAAATGGTTCCAGCATGGGGATCCAGATAAGGATATGATTGTCTTAAGAAAACACCACTGACTCAACCAGAGAGACAGGAGAACAGTAGCAAGACAAGTTCTCCATTTCACATTTGATCTCAGGTACTGAAAGCTGCAGAAACACACAAGTTAGGCAGCAAAAGAAATAAACACAGACACAAACAATGCATGACGACATAATAGAAGAAGAGAGATCTTTTTGGACAAACCTCTTCCTCAGGATAATGAAGAGTTTGTAGCCGAGTAATGAAGAGTTTGTGGCCGAGTAATGCATTGTCCAGCGCCGCCTTGGAATTCCGAGGGTTAGTTTCAACCAGAGAACTTATATCAGAATAAGACTCGTGAGAATCTGGAAACTTACAGTACTATCGATTTGTTGGATTAGATTAGTACAGTGTAACGAAAGACCAGCTTCACCCAATCGTTCTTCCCTGCTTCCCTCCACTGTCTTCGGAACATAAAAAGTTAGGCAACAAGAAAACAGAACCAAACAATGGAGAAAGAAAGATCTTCGGGACAGAACTCTTCCTCAAGATCACGAGTTTGTAGCCGAGGACGAACAGCTGTCATGACGGTATCAGGTGTACAACGTGTCCCTTAACATTAGAAGTAAGTGATGAAGGCTGAGACGGCTAGAAAGGCCAAGGATCAGTTTCAACCAAAGAATAGATATCCCTTCCCTTCTCAATATCAGAATAAAATCTTGGGAAATAGTTGTGAAGGGGAATCTGCAAACTTAAAATACAATCAATTTGTTGGGTTAGATTAGCATAATGTAACGCAAAACCACCTTCACCTAATCGTTCTCTTCGCGGCTTCCCTCCATTGTCTTTTAGGCCTATTGAGATTTTGTTAAGACGGTGTCAGTTGAGATTTGGTTCTCCAGAAATAGTGTCATTATCAGAAACCGGAAGCACAAAGACTCCCAGCCAATATTCCCGAAAACTTCCACCATCGTGTGATCTAGATAGCAAACGACATCCACAAGCTTCTTGATTATCTGTACTTAAATGGAATCTAAGGCATATATTACAAAATGCACCAAGACACAGCAAGTGAAGAGTTGTGTTGGATATTCATTGAAGTAGAATCAT